TAGATCCTTATAAAAAATGCAAGTGTTAGTATCATTGCAAATCATATGACACTGGGCCACTGACGACTTTGTTCTCCTTTCTGGTCCCCTTTGTTGCCACAACTGCTGGCAGCTTGGTTTGAAGGGCCAGAAGACAGGAAGCTGGTTAGACACCAGTTCCTGACCAAGGAAGTTAGATCCTCAAGTTTTCTGGTTTTTAATGTTGCTATAGCAGCAAAAATTAAAGAGAAATGTTTGCTTTAAATTGGAGAGCACATCTTTTAGAGAGAAAAACTACAATTAACATTTTTGTACCTTTTTAAAAAAATACCCTGTATATATATACTTTTTTCATGAGTAACAGAAAAATCTATCTTCCAAACTCTGGTTCACTCCCCAAATGCCTGCAGCAGCCAGGACTGTGACAGGCGCCAAAGTCAGGAGACCAGAACTCCATCAGGGTCCGTCACATGGATGGCAGAGGCCCAAGTACTTGGGGCCATCTGCTGCTGCCTTCCCAGGAAGCTGGATCAGAAGTGGAGCCCTGATAGATGGGATGCTGGCGTCACAGTGGTGGCTTAATCCACTGTGCCACAATGCCTGCTGCTAGTTTTTTGTTTACTTTACCGCTGCCACCAGCCCTCCCCACCCCCGGCCCCGATTTGAGACTGAGCAAGTTGTCATCTGCGGGTTTAATCCCCAAATGCCAGCCAGAAGTCATGACTGGACCAGGGCCCAAGCCAGGAGCCTGAATGCCATCCAGGTCTCCTACATGGTGAGAAGACTTGAGCCGTCCCCAGTACCTCCCTGGATCTGCATTAGCAGGAAGCTAGAGTCTTGGGCAGGAGCACTCCAGTGTGGGCTGCGGGCATCCTAACCACTGGCTGAAGCACACAATCCTCTCTACCTGGCGTTTTGAGGGAAGAACTTAGGTAATTTTTAAACTCTCAGTAACTTCGTATGTGCATTTCAGAGAGAGAAGACAGTAAAAATTCCCTGGTGAACAATCCAAATGTGTGCCCAAAGGAACTACAAAAAATAACAAAAAATGTGTAATGTTAACTGTTCTAGAGACTATTAACTTTGAGATGGGAAAAAAAACTTGTGGTATTTTTTTGAGTGATGGTCAATGGCGTGCAGCCACAAGAGGAGACTCAGGCAGTGAGAGAAGAAAGTTTATTATATTTACAGGTTCTAGAGAGACAGAGTTGCTGCATGCCTGGGGAGGGGGTGCTGTCGCCAGGAAAGGAATATGAAGGGAGGGGCTTGGCTAAGCAGGTGAGGAACAGGGAGAGCGCGGAGATCCCCGGGCAGGCGCCTGGGGGCAGCAGAAGTGCACAGAAAGCGTGCAGGGTTTCCCTGGTGCAGTCAGGTGTTACTCGATCGTGGTCTGGGGAGGGCAGGAGGAAGGGAAAGGAGTGGCAGGGGCCACCTGTGTCACCCGGCCACCGTGGGCTACTTGGGCCGGGTGCTCACAGCCTGGGTGTGGGGGTGCTGAGGCAGCAGGAAAAACAGGTAGTTTGAAAAGTCAAAGGTACAACACAAATGTAAAAACATGCTCTTCCAAATCTCACATCAACCAGACCTTTTTGTCCTTTTGGTTCTTACTCTTTGGCCCATGAATGGTTTGTTTACACCTTGTCTTAACTTTAAATGCCAAGAAAGAGTTTTTATTGAGCTCTTTTAGAGTCTTTTAAGTGATTCATAAAAGATGGAAGGAGACAGTTTATATTGGATTTCTGGCTGTGACCCGTCCTGACCGACCATTCGTCTCCTCCTGTGCCGTAGGTTTACTTTGCCTTATGGAAGCAGCTTACTGGTGCATGTTTTAAATGTGCAAGTTTTACTTTCACTATGACTGAAATAACATTTTAAAGTTTGTATTTCCTTCCTAATTCCCAGAGCCTCACATTCTGTGGCTGCTTCGTTGCTCAGGGTAAAGAAAGCACTCTGCGGACCCTGGGGGCAGGATTAACTGGGCAAACGTGGCTGCTCCTGCTCCTGCTCTCTACACCATGGCTTCTGTTTTATTAGCTATTGTGTCTAGGCTCAAAAATTTGGTATTTGATGTTTTGTATTTGTTACTGAAAATATTTACACAGAAAACACACTCCGATATTTCCATATTTTTACACAGCCCCCTTCTGGGAAGGAGATTAAAATGAGTCAGTTTCAGAATGACATTAATTGCCCATTTTGTTTTCATCCTGAGGCGTCTTTATCAAGTCAATCTACTTTCCTACTACTGTGGTCCTGGATAAAGCACAGGTTTTTGCATAGGAAAATAACTAGATTTGTATTGAACACGTTAGGAAACAAACTTTTTGTTTTATGCCATCTTGCAGTCTTTATTAAAGAGGCTCAGGAAAATAGAGCAGTTGAAATTTCCTTTGGTCTAATGCTGCAAGACCTAAGCAGTTCTGAATGGTTTATGAGGAGGAGAACTGTCCACAGCTGAAAGATACTTTTTCCCCAGTGTGTAAACACTGAAACCTATTTTTTTAATACTTTGATTCTAATCATGTTGGAGCTATATACTGCAATTAATGAAAGATTTCAAAAAACAAAGTTGTGCTAATCCTATTATGCCTTGGTATTCATGCTCTAAGAGGCTGTAGAAAAAGTAGGCAAATTTTAATTTTTCTGGTTTTTTTCTAAGTTTCAATGCATTCTTACTGAATATAAAGTGGGAGATCACTTTTCTATTGGAATGGGAGGAAACACTGTACTTTGACAGGGTTGTTCTCCGTCTCCCCTTGGTACAGGATACTTAATTTACTTCTTACTGAATGGATGGTCTGGGCTGAGATGAACAGCAACTGCTTGTGCCTTTTTGTTCCGAGTGTACCCCGTCCTTCCTTCTCACCCCTTCCTGAATGTGTGCTTGGTTTCCTATATTAGCAGTATTGGCTAAATAGAGCAACATTTCTTTCTGACCACTAAATTATTAATCATTGAGCCTCAAATAACTAAGAAAATATGAATGGTAATCTTCACTAGTAATAATTGCTATCAATATGTTCTTCAAAAATGTTGTTAGACTTGAAGTTATAACGAGACTTGCTAAGGCATTAGAGTCACTTCTGGGTCAAATAGGAAACTGCACATTCGGTCAAAAGACAAAACGTTAGAGAAACTATGAAGTGAATAATAAAATGTGAAGGGATCTTTGTTTTTGGAAAAACAAGGGTGGTATTCCTTCCCATTCACAGACACTACTGTTGTCCTACCCGCAGAAGTGTCTTGGCTTATGTTGGCTAATAGGAACCGTTTTGCATGCATGTGAGGGAGACACAGAGGTATCTTGGAACTAACGCATTAGGAAGTGTGCAATTGCAAAGCAAAACAGCACAAACTCAAGACACACAGCACATTTTGAGGCACTTGAAGTGGAAAACACGAGTCACTGTGCGGGGGAATATCGACTGTGACCATAGTCATAATTTTGGTGATTGAATCTTGGTAAAACAATGGCTGGACTGCATTCTGGGAAATTTCATTGAATAGAAAAGCAGAATTTTTAAGTGCTTTTGAGGAGATAATGAGAGTTCATTAAAACCAAATTTAAAAACTGGAATATTGTCAAAAGAGTTGAAGAAAAGATTTCAGAACCTTTTCTTGAGTCTATGTTTCTGACCTTTAGATATGGTCTTTGCAACCTATGCAGTACTACGAGGTCTTAGTTTTCAGAAAAACAACTTCTGAGTTTGAGGACCAACAGCTGTGGATGGGAGGTGGCTGGCATTTTACCTACTCAGGTCCATTCCTAGAAAAAGTTTTTTATATACAATGACTTGGGCGTTATAAGCAATTTTTTTTCTAAATAAGTCTGTTTAGAAATAGCACAGGGAAACTCCTATGAACAATTGAGCTGACATGTCATCTTACAGGGATGTAATGAACTGGATGACAAAAATAAACTTAGAAAACTGGCTCAAACACTATGGTGAGCATGACAAAAAAGACAGGAGATGGAATGATTGATGGCTGTGTGTAACAGCATATGATGTTTTACTGTCTAACTTCCACTGAAGAGCCTTCCCTTGAATCCTTCTGTTCTCAACCATGAAAGGGTCACGGTTTTTGCATAGTAATCAAGTAGAACCCCAGATGCTGACACGCACAGGAAAGAAGATGTAGAAGAAATAAGACACTCCCTTGTTGATCCAAGGAGAGCTTTCTGTGTCTACCAGAAAGTACTCGGGGTGCAGTCATCGGGAACTATTGAGTGAGTACACAGACTGTATAAGGGTAGGGTTGGCAGCTGTCTTCCTCATTCAGATAGAAGTTTCTAGGCGATTTCAGGAATATGACTGCCTGTCACTTGGAGAATGTTCTCCCCTTGTTTTCTCTTCAAGAAGAGCATGAATGCTCTATATTACTGTAGCAATGTGTGAAAAGCCAGGCCTGAAGACACTCACACAATATCTTGAATATTACTGGGCATTCTTGTGGTTTATGAGATAAGTTTTTTTTTTTTTTCAATTCTATAGAGGCTAGGCTTGGCAAATTAACCATCCTGCTATTTCCCCCATGAAGATTTAATATTGGAATCGGAGAGTGTCCATGATTTTCCATGAGAGGCAACATTACACTGTAGCCTCGGAATGGAGGAGAGTACAGGTTCTGTGATTCATTCTAGCGACCCGAGTGCTCAGACTCACTGTCCCTGCTAACAGACAACCCGGTCTGCCTCTAGTGCTGTTTTCTATAACAAGACATCCCCCCTCTTCTATTTTATTTATAAACCAGCCCCCAAACCACAACCCAATTTCATGCTATCTTATCCACATACAGAATTCATACCAGCAAGACAACTTAAACATAAAAAGGCTTTCCAAAGAAATAACTTCAACTCCTATTGACAGAATTATCCCTAGCTGTCACTGTGACAAAAACATTGGTATCTAAGTATTGCAGCCTCAGTAGGTTCTAACATTTTCCACATAGAACCAATACCTCCGAATTCAAGCTATTAATGATATACTTAATCTATTCAAATGTAGTCCTTACCATCTGTCTAAAGTTGGCTGAGAGGTGTTATATTCACAAACACCATAATTTTGTGTGTGGGTTACAAAAGAAATTCCTTTCCACAAAGGCAATATGTTGCAAAATTGATGTCTCAAGGCCATGAAAATGACACAACTTCAGTCAAGCATTAAGAAGCTCATCATCTGAGTGTCCAATAGCATCTGGGTTTGAAAGAGGATCCAAGTCTGCAAATAGATTGAACCAGGCTGACATGTCTTGGTTACCATTCTTGGAAGCTATTAGAAAGAAAAACACATCAGAGTTTCAGCTTTTTTATAATCATATTTTCATAATTTTGAAGTAGATGCTTTTGAATAAAAAAGATAACTGACAAATAATAAACTATCAACTCTACCCCCTTCAGGATAATTTTGAAAAGCTAATACAGAATCTTGTGCTTGGTTGCGTACAGCTCTTAGAAAAGACTTGAATTACAAATGAAGTCAGGTCAGTTGTTAAGTCAGCAACGGGAGTCACTGTGCACCTACTTCCCATGTAGCATCTCTGCCCTTAATGTGTTGTACTACGCGAATTAACGGTACTACTACTACTCAAACAGTACTCTATACTTTGTGTGTGTGGGTGCAGTCTGTGGAATTTCTTTATATATAGAAGATCAACTTAGTATATACTAAGTAAAGATAATGAAGATGAAATTTAATGAAGAATGGGATGGGAGAGAGAGTAGAAGGTGGGACGGTTTGCAGGTGGGAGGGAGGTTATGGGGGGGGACTGCTATAATCTAAAGTTGCACTGTTGAAATTTATTAAAAAAAAGCAAATGAAGACTGGTAACAATACAGTCTTCTTAGAAACAAGGAGGCTTTCAGATAAGGTTTAAAAATTAAAAGTAGCCTCTGTTTCTACCAAGTAGGAAATCACATTCCTGAAATCTGTATTTCTCACAGTCCCACATTACCACATCCAGCAACTTACTTTGGTTTGCAGGTGTTTCCCTTGTCTTTTCCAAATGTGCTATTAACATTGTTCTTTTTCCCCACATTTTATTTGAAAATGAAGAGGAACTGACAAAGATCTTCCATCTGCTGGTTTACTCCCCAAATGACTGCATCAGCCAGGGATAGGCCAGGCCAAAGGTAGGAGCCTGAAACTGAATCTGAGTGTCCCAGGTGGGTGGCAGTGACTCCAGTTCGTGAGCCATCATCTGCCACCTCCCGGGTGTACATCAGTAGGAAGCTGGACGGAAGTGGAGAAGCCAGGGCCTGAACCAGGCACTTTGATATGAGATGCCAGTGTCCCACTGCACCAACTGTCCGACCCAGCTTCCTGTTAACCAAATCCAAATAGCTCCCTGTGGAGATGGGAGATGGGAGAATCTAAATACCATTAGTCCACAGGTTGCACTGTCACACATACTCAAGGACACAAGGTTCGGCAGGAGGCTGGGACTAAGCTTGCACAGTGGCATGGAGTGTGCGTCATCCCGGACTGGCCACTGACACCCAGGGGTCCAGAAGACAGGGCTAAGACAGGTGACCTTGTGAGCAGGGTATGAGGCGAGCCTTGGTAGGCAGAGTGGAAGACAGGCCTACTCTGAAGAGTAAAACTCAGTCATGGTCGACAGGGGCCACGTTCTAGGCGTTTTCCGTTCCAGGCCTCAGCCAAACCGTGTGTCCCTGACTGTCCGCCAGAGGGCTGAGGGGCTCCCAAGCCTCCAGAGTGAGGGCAGCGCGAAAGGACTGCGTTTGTGCCTGAGGTGGAGCGCGAGTTCTGGCCTTGCTCTGGGTGACTGCCTACCAGTGAGTGCCCCTGGGCGAGTCACCGAACCCGGTGCTTGTTTCCTCACTAAATCACTCTGTGATTTAGTACTGGATCCGGATACCTGAGAGTAAAAAGGGAAGTTTGAAGGTAGCCAAATAGAGGGGCCCAATGCTTAGTTCCTCCACCACAGAAAAGAGCTCAAACAACAAACAAACAGCTGCATGTAGAAAGAGTGCCCAAGGGAGAACTCTGGAACTCAGCACGTCCTGTAGGCCACACAGACTGGAGGTGGCAGCACCGAGGAACGCAGTGACCTGCGACCAAGACCCAGATCCATGGCGGGGGCGTCCCCGTGGCGGGGCAGGGTGCCCTGGAGTGCCTCAGTGGCGCCCTCTGCACAGCCGCCTGACTGGCAGTCTAGCCCCAGGGCCGGCCACAGGCCTCGCAGGGCAGGGGCCCAGCAAGGAAGCCACCTGCAGGCTTCAGAGGAGGCAGCTGGCCGCCCCTCAGCGACCACAGCACAGGCGGAGAGGAGTCACTGTCGGGATTCGGCCTGCCCTGGAGGACAGGCCCTGCCGCCGCTCTGCCACACAGCACAAGCCTGCAGCTGGTACCTCATTCCACCCGGCACTCTGCGCTTCAGGGGCGGGAGCTGGGCCCCAGAGCTCTAGAAGTAGGAGTGCTGGATTCTCAGAGCTCGGGTCCACTCTTCCACCCCTGCTTCCTGGGAAGGTGCTCAGCACTGCCAGAACACGCGGGAATCAGAGCCGCCAGCAGGCCTGCAGCCTCCGCCTCACCCACAGGGGCCGCTGCCCGACCACTGGGACCTGCAACGCTCCCAGGACCCTGGCTCCTACTGTCACGTGCACCTGCTGGGACACATGCCACCCTACCAGGGACGTGAGCTGGTGCTGCCATGAACCCGGCCCCACCTCTGTCACCAAGGGCCACCACCAGTACTGCGTGCTATCCCAGAATGCCAATGGTGCGCCTGTGAACTTGGCCCCCACCCCTTGGGCTGCCACCAGGAGCACAGCCCCTGCTGTGGCAGGCTTCAGTGGGAGGCGGTGAGGGAGACTACCCCATGGCTCCAACTGGAACTAAAGAGAAAGGAGTCTACCAGACTGACGCCCAGAGACACGGATTCTGGAAAAAGCATTTAACCATGAAAGGCAACCTTTCAAAAACCGCCCCTGCCAGATACGACAATCAGTGGATCTGCAAGGTAACATGACACCTCCTGGGGCCACCGCCGTACTAGACTCCCACGGAAAGGGGCTGACACAATGCCGCCTATAGAACTGGAAAGAGTGGAAGGAAACTCGGTGGGACAGCAGGCCGAAACAGCCTAACAGAATCAGGAAAACTGCATGCCATGAGTAAGGAAATCTAGGAGGAACTGTTAGAAATGAACTGAATAAGTCAAATAAAAAATTGAGTTGAGGGCCTCAGCAACAGGACTAGGTCAAGCAGAATAAAGAATATCTGAATTTGGGCTGGCGCTGTGGTTCAACAGGCTAATCCTCCGCCTGTGGCGCCGGCACCCCGGGTTCTAGTCCTGGTCAGGGCGCCAGATTCTGTCCCGGTTACCCCTCTTCCAGGCCAGCTCTCTGCTGTGGCCCGGGAAGGCAGTGGAGGATGGCCCAAGTGCTTGGGCCCTGCACCCCATGGGAGACCAGGAGAAGCACCTGGCTCCTGGCTTCAGATCAGCACAGCGCGGCGGCCATTGGAGGGTGAACCAACGGCAAAAGGAAGACCTTTGTGTCTGTCTGTCTGTCTCACTGTCCACTCTGCCTGTCAAAAAAAAAAAAAAAAAAAAAATTTGAAGATGGATCTTTTGATATAACCTAGTCAGACAAAAATGGGAAAAAGTGTTTAATGAAGGTAGCAGTGAAACTTTGGAGACACCATTAAGTGAACAAATATCTGAGTTTTGGGAATTCTAGAAGGGGAAGAAAAGGTGAAAGACATAGAAAACTTACGAAATAACAGCCGACTACTTCTCCAATCTCAGGAGTAGCATGGACATCCCGGTACAGGAGGCCCGGACAACCCCAAGTACTCGTGGCCCGGAAAGAGCCTCACTGCAACACCTTATACTCAGGCTGTCAAAATGAAATCGCCAAGCCAGAGTTCTAAAAGCTGCAAGGCCAGATTGCCAAGTCAGGAATCAAGCACAGACTTGAACCCTGGTATGGGCTTACTCTAGTGACGCTCAAGTTTGGACAGGGCCCCCCTGCCCCTGCCCCCAGACCAACACCTTGCAGACTGAGCCCTTGACACCTTGGCCAAGCAGCTGCAGGACGGCCTGTCCTACCACTGCCAACCTCAGAAGAGCAGACTCCAGCTGCCAAGGAGTGTGCTACGCGAGTGAGCTGAGGACTTTGCCTTGGAGCTCTGCTGGATCTGCTGTGGTGAGGCCCAGCACCAAAGCTCAGAGGTCTCCATGCCCAGAGCAGCACTCACAGGTGCGGCCCCTAGACCGGCTCCAGCGTCAGAGACCTGCCATGCACTCTGGAGTTCGGAATCCCGTTTCAGCCTGCATCAACCTGGTACACACCCACAAGACAGGAGTGCAGGGTTCTCAAGTGCAAGCTAGCTTAGTGTCCGCCTGGGCAGCCGGGGACTGCCTTCACCGCCACCAACCGTGGGCGGACAGCAAGAAACAAGTCTACAGCCAATTAAGAGTCGGGTACCAAAGTGAGCACAGGCTGCACCTTGGAACTCAGGGTCAGATCCTTACAGTCCCTGGCCTCTGGCTCGTGCTGTGGATGGAGCCCCTAAGACTTGCTCCGGTGCCAGGTGGAGACTGGTGGGCGTAGCTGACTGGGCATGTCCTCTGCCAGCACTGCCTGTGTCTGGCCACAGTGGCCTGAGGGTGTAAGTCCGTGTGAGCAGCAGGTAGCCCACAGCGACAGGGCTGTGCTGCACTGGACCTGGCAGGCTGCATGTTCCCCACTGTTAACCCCTTGGCAGATGCATCAGCTGCAGATGGCTTCTCCCATTCTGCAGGTTGGCCTTTTACTCTGCCGAGTCTGCTTTGCTGTGCAGAAGTTGTTTAATTTGATGAAATCCCGTTTGCCCATTTTTGTGTGTTTCCTGGGCTTTTAAGGTCTGTTGGGAAAACTGGATTTTCATATGTGGAAGAATGAGCCTTGACCCCACCTCTCACCCTAGACAAAAATCAATTCATAATGGATCAGAGACCCAATTGGAAGACGCAAAGCGCAGACACACACACACACACACGAGAAACATGTCACACGAAATTTTGGGGGATGAGATTCCAAAAGCATAGGCAACAAAAAGACAAATGGGGTTATAGCAAAATAAAAGCTTCTGCATGGCAGAGGACACAAGAGAGTGAAAACAAACTACAGAATGGGAGAAAAAGTTTGTCATCTGACAAGATTAATACTTAGAAAATCTTGAATTCAAAACTCAGTAACAGAAAAGCAATTTAAAAGTAGGTAGATAATATGAATAGATCTTTCTCAATAGGAGAAACTGAAATG